TGAAAATAGTTAAAATGAAGGGTTTATCAATCGACATTCTATTCTTCCTGGAAATGACTCTTTGTGATCTTTGACTGTAATAAATGCATCTGATTGTATGTACTGGTCCACTCTGTCATCAATATCCAAATCAATTGCTATTTCAGCTGCTTCCTTGTTTACATTATTCAGTTTTGTTAAACTTGCTTTCTTGTAGTCAGTTGTAATATTTTGATCCAATAGTTTCTTGTACTCTGCTACGGGCAATTTATATAAGTTTCTTGTTTTATCTGCTTTCACAATAATATCTTCATGTTGTTGTATATCCTTGATGGTTTCCTTCAGTTCAGACTGAAAATTATTGTGAACTGGACGAAATTGTATGTTTTTTATCATGGCAAATAGATCTTCTTCAAACATTTTTAGCTCTTTGAGATGTGGTGCTGAGTTAGTAGTGTTAAAACCATACGAATTCTTTGATGTCATCCCAGGATTCTGTATTGCAAACAATTTCCATCTTAACCTTCCAATAAAACTTTCTACTTTGCTAACCATTACTTTATGATACTGCCATTTATTGTGTAGAGGTATGTTCTTTAGTGAGTGCCGAAAATTTAATCTCTCCATGTTCTTCTTAAGTTGAGGTTGGTTCTTGGTTTATAGAGATCTCGACTACCAGAGCAGGAGAATATTCTTTAATTGCAGAAAACCAAGGATTTCAAGAGTTCTCGACACACAAGTGGAGACTGACATAGTATTTTCAACTTTTTCAGTTTAAATATACATTTTAGATGTTTAAATATATATTTCTTCCAAGACAAAATGTTTCATGGGTCTAACCCAATCATTAGTTGGAATAAAACTGATACTGGAGCATTTTTTACAATGATTTTACGAATTTTTGCAGAATAAGATAAAAATTGTTTTACACATTTAAAATGATACATATTGTTTTACTTAAAAAATCTTTTTGAAAAAAAATCTTCTTGAAATGGCAGTTCATAAGTTTCTTCTCTTGTTTACTTCACCTCAGGTCTTGTAACATTTACTAAGTAGGAATTTCTCTTGGTGCCTGCACTTGTTCATTACTTAGCTTCTTTTATATAATAGGTTTACATCCTCAGATAAAAGTTTTTTCCATCAGACAGAGAGTGCCCGTTTTTTGCTACAGGATTGATTATATGGTTTCACTTTAATAACTATTGACCAGGAAAATGGAAATGGTTCGTTTATCTTCTTTAGGCCCCAGATATGCTTGGATAAACTAGTATTATAGTCATATTTAAGATTATTAAAGGATACCTTGTGATTAGTATATCTCTCCTTGAACGAATTTGCAGCTATACCTATATAACTTGCATTCATCCCTGATGACATCACTTCTGCTTTATAAAGCACGCCTTTACTACAACATTTGATTTAAAGGTTTTACTCAGAAGTTTCTTATAATTTCCAGATAGAACTGCTTCAATATTTGTCATACAAGAATATGATACTTTAATCGTTGATCTATTAAAGTATTATCTCAGTTCTGTTTTTCCAAAATGTTTATCAATCAAACTTAAGAACTTTTCCACTACTTTTGTCTTTACTGTTTCACTAAAAGGATGATTGAACCAAATAATTGTTTTCAATCTTGTTTCTTTTTATCACTGTTTTGATTAGATGGGTTGAATTTAAGTCTCTCCGTATATCCTGCTTGATGTAGTGCATCCTTATAGGGTTTTGACTCATTCTCAAAAACTTCTCTGGAACATGATAAATTTGAAACTCTTTCTTCAATCATTTTTGGAAGTTCTTATTTTACAGACCTAGGATGATTAGATTTGACATTGATGTAAACAGGAATCTCATTGTTTTTTCTGTATGGTTTAAAACTTTCTTTTCTTAGATCAAAATAAACATCCAAGAACTCTGTAACTGTAACATTTCCCTCTATTGTAACCTTGAGTTTACAATCTTTAAAGATAGAAAACATTTTCTTCCTAATTTGTTCAATCTCTGGTCCCGATCCTTTTACAACACACAACCCATCATCTCGATATAATCCAATATTCTCTTGTGGAATGATCTTCTCCAGTTTACTCAATATATATAATCCTACAAACTCAGCTATCTCGGCACCATCATATGCTCCCATTGTAACATCAAAATTTTCATTGCATTTCTTTGTCCAAGGACTACTCTCCAGAAAAAGGAATGACTTTTTACAGTTGCTTATTATTTTCAATTGTTGTTCTGTAAAATTGTGGTATTGTTTTGACCAAGAAACTGCTGTATTGAATAGTTTTTGTGTTATAGAAGGATAAAATGCAACTATATCAAATTTTAGGAAAGTAAGCGAGTTTTTGTTTTCAAGATTTTTAAACCAGTCGATGACTTGACTAGTATTAATCCATTGGTTTGATCTTGTTTTGTTTTTAATGGATAGAACTGCTTCCGAGATGATCTGTTTACTAATTCTACCAATATTTGATTTAGCTGGGTTTATCAATCGACATTCTATTCTTCCTGGAAATGACTCTTTGTGATCTTTGACTGTAATAAATGCATCTGATTGTATGTACTGGTCCACTCTGTCATCAATATCCAAATCAATTGCTATTTCAGCTGCTTCCTTGTTTACATTATTCTATTTTCTTAAACTTGCTTTCTTGTAGTCAGTTGTAATATTTTAATCCAATAGTTTCTTGTACTCTGCTACGGGCATTTATATAAGTTTCTTGTTTTATCTGTTTTCACAATAATGTCTCCATGTTGTTGTATATCCTTGATGGTTTCCTTCAGTTCAGACTGAAAATTATTGTGAACTGGATGAAATTGTATGTTTTTCACCATGGCAAATAGATCTTCTTCAAAAATTTTTTACTCTTTGAGTTGTGGTGCTAGGTTAGTAGTGTTAAAACCATACGAATTCTTTGATGTCATCCCAGGATTCTGTATTGCAAACAATTTCCATCCTAACCTTCCAATAAAACTTTCTACTTCGCAAACCATTACTTTATGATACTGCCATTTATTGTGTAGAGGTATGTTCTTCAGTGAGTGCTGAAATTTTAATCTTCTCCATGTTGAGGTTGGTTCTTGGTTTAAAGAGATCTCAACTACCAGAGCAGGAGAATATTCTTTAATTACAGAAAACCAAGGATTTGAAGAGTTCTCAACACACAAGTGGAGACTGATAAAGTATTTTCAACTTTTTCAGTTTAACTATACATTTTAGATGTTTAAATATATATTTCTTCCAAGACAAAATGTTTCATGGGTCTAACCCAATCATTAGTTGGAATAAAACTGATACTGGAGCATTTTTTACAATGATTTTACAGGTTTTTGCAGAATATGATAAAAATTGTTTTTCACCTTTATAATGATACATATTGTTTTACTTAAAAAAATCTTTTTGAAATATACATTTATATATTTGTACAATAAAATAACCTTCTGACCTGATATCTTTCCTAGTTCCTGTGAGACAGGATGCTTCCTGTAGAATTGCGAATGAAACGCTATGTTGTGCCCTACATACAAATACATATTAATTTGCAAAGTACAAATATGCTTTAATAGTTTGTTTTTTGTTAAAAAAGTAAATTCTATTAAAGGTACTGTAAGTGAATTTCAAGTGACCCTCCATTCATGACGTTTAAACTATAGTTCATATATAATTCGAAAATATAAGGAAGACGATTTTACCGACTCAGATGCTGATGACTATTCTCAAGACATGAGTATCTATTTCCTCCATGAAGCTCCAACATGTCACCCTCGCTCCTTCGTTCCCCCTTCACCCCTCTACACATCCCAGCCCGGCAGTCAGCCTGAAACACTCAGGATGACCACAACTCCGTCTCAACCTTCATCCTTCATGATGGTGATTCAGATACCGAGATAGATGCAGACTCTGTTTACATCTAGCCCCACAATGCTCCAGAGATCAACATTATCATGCATCACTGAGACAACATAATCGCTCAATGCACACGATAAAACCGTGATATCTCTCCCATAGCCTGAAACCTGGTTGTGAGCAAACCTGCTGTGATGGAAGATCTGCACCACCAACATGAAGCTCTACAAATATGTTCCAACTGATATTCGTCAATAGTTTTCTTTGTTCATTTTTAACCAACCAATTTTACCCAGTCTTGGGCAAATATTTCAAAACTTTTGTTTTTTTTTAAATAAATGTTAGAAATATCCATTTTAGATCTCTTCGTTTTATTATAGTGACTTTTAAAGTCAACAAATCTAATCTAATCTAATCTAATAATTTAATTTCCGTTGAAAATGACAGTTTGTGCATAAAAATTACATATTTATTAGTTTATTAATTATCAATGGAAGGAGAGCAGCCATAGCAGAACTGTTTTCAGATTGGTCTCCTGGCAGTTTACCGTGGTATCAATTAGAACTGAATTGATGTGATACGTCGTGGGACTGGGTTTGGAGAAGACGGAGGAACAGGGTCAGATTTGCTCAATAAACATGTTATAAATTTGGTTCTTGATTTGAGACAATAGGCAGAAAACAGAAACAGAGGCGCCAGGAACTATTGCATTCCTAATTTTTTTGCGTTGCAAAAAAAATTAGCAAACGTTTAAGTTCCACCCATTAACAATACCTTTTCCAAAAAAAGCAATGCCAGAGCACTGATTTTTATAAGAAGGATTTTAAAAAAAGCAAATTGCTTGACCTAAAAATGCATTGTCATAGAAAGAAAAATTATTTGTGTGCAGTTAAAAAATGACGATTAACTAGAGCATGACCAGCAAAATAGTTTGTTTCAAATAAAATTGTCACTCTTTGACAGCAAATGATTTTTAATCGTAGATTTAAAAGAAATTTTATTAGTAATACTTGAAATTTCAGGATTATTTAGAGCTAAACTGTTCCAACATTTAGGCAAATCAAAGAAAGGAAATCAACGTAAAGATTCATTATCAACTCTTGGGATAAAATATTCATCAGAGTTTCTTAAATTATACAGGTTCACAGACAATACAGAGTTTTTTACAAAAAAATTTCAAAAAGATACTGGACTATAGTTTTTATCAATTGAATGCATTAACATAAGTTTCTGCTGAAGGATTAAATCATGAAAGGGTAATATCTGGGTAGAGTGAAACAATGGCTCAGTATGAGCGTTGAATTTAGATTACGAGATAATTCTGACACATTTTTTTTGCAGAAGGAATAACGAGTTTAAAGATTTTAGTGAGGCAGACGAGTAGATTGGAAGGCAGTATAGAAAAAGAGGATGAACTAGAGCATAATAGAGAGACTTTAAGGCAGAAGACGACAATAAATGCTTAGCTTTACTAATCGGGAATAATGCTTTAGATATCTTGTTTCTAGTTTGCTTAATATGATATTCAAAATTAAGATTTTCATCGAGAAAAACGCCAAGCATTTTAAAAGCCGGAACCCTTGAACTGTTATTAATCCTTTCAATAGGGAAAATAAATCTGGGATCGGGAAAAGAATTCAAATCATTGCAATTAAAAATAAACTGAAAATCTTCAACTTTTTTTTGCTTAGGATGAAAGACTATAATTTTCGTCTTGGTAGTATTAATTGCAAGTTTATTGGCTCTCAGCCACATTCCCAGTTTCTGAAGCTCAAGATTTACAAAGTTTCCAAGTTCAAAAATGCTTGTACCTTTTTTTAAAGCCGTTGTATCGTCAGCAAAGAGAAAGTTAAGCAGGGCATTGCTTTTAAACATATCATTTATAAAGATCAAGAAAAGTAGTGGTCCTAAAATTGATCCCTGGGGAACAGAAATATTCAAGGTGGTAAAAAAACTGGATAAAACATCATTAACCATAACATATTGCCTTCTATCTTTAAGATAGTTTTCAAACCACTTTAAATTAACATTCTTAATTCCTATTTTCTTTAATTTGGTAAGAAGAATTTTATGATCAACAAGATCGAAGGCTTTACGAAAATCTAGGAAAACCCCAACCACTATCTCATTATTGTTAAAAGCATCAGCGATGTAGTTTAGAATGTGAACTAATGGATGTAAGGTTGATTTACCAGGTTGGAAACCAAATTGATTCTTATACAATATATTATTAATTGACAGATAATTATAAAGCTGCTTAAAAACAATTTTCTCAATATCTTTAGATAATGCAGGCAAACAAGAAATAGGACGATAATTTGTAAGATTTTCCGGACATTCAGATTTAAACACAGGACACGTGCGAGAGGTTTTTAAATTAATCGGGATCTGGCCAGTACTAAAAGATAGATTAAAGATATGAGACAGAGGTTCAGAAATCTCAGTTGATACGGCTTTTATCAAAACAGTACTTATACAATCAATATCCAGAGTATTTTTACGATTGAGTGACGAGTTAATTTCTGAAACCTCTAATGGATTTGTTAGGAAAAACTCAAAATTAGAATCTAAATCCTCTAAATAATCTTCTGGTTTATCAGACGTTTCCGGTATTTGAGATCTTATTTCATCTGCAATTTCGGAAAAAAATGTGTTAAATGTATCAGCAATTTTAGATGGCTCAGTTATTGACAAACCTTTAGATTTAATCATAGAAATCTTGTTAGATTTAGTTGATCTTTTATCAATAGCTTCATAAAGATATCCCCACATTTTTTTAGGACAGCTTTTACTTGATTCAAGTTTCTTTTCATAATACAATTTTTTTGCTTCTCTGATGAGCTTGTTATATAAGTTTCTATAATTCTTGTAAATCTCAAATTTCAGGGGGTTTCTAGATGACAAGTAGTCTTGATAAAGAGACAGTTTAGTACGCCGAGAGGTTAACAATCCCTTAGAAAAAAAATCTTGAATTTTGTGAAAGTTTTTATTAAATTTAGATTTTTTGACAGGAAAATGTAGATTATACAATGTAGACCAGCTGTTCCAAAATAAATCAAAGCTTTCCAAAGGATCAGGACAAGATAAAACATCATCCCAAGAAAGATTAGATAAGTTTTCACGAAATAAATTAATATTTAATTCAGAAAAATCTCTAAATTCAGTAAATTTTTGCTCGCTTTTTACCTTCTTCTTAAAATTCAATGTGGTAAAACATGGAAGATGGTCAGATAAATCATTTAATAAGACACCAAATTCAGGAGTATTTAAGTTAATATTGCAGAAAATCTGATCAATTAGAGTATTAGAGTGAGAAGTAAATCTTGTTGCTTTAGTTATCAAATTCATAAAACCGTTAGAGATGCAAAGATCCAGATAATTTGATCATTCAGGAGATTTTTCAACTTGGAGCAAATCAAAATTACTATCAGTGAGAATGCAGCAATGTTTATCTTTAATAAGATCGAACATAATGTTTAAAGATTCAATAAAAGCTGCACTTATTTCAGAATTAGAAAGGGTCGGGTGATTTCCAGGTGGACGATAAATGGATATAAAAAGTATTTTTCTGTTTGAAAATTCAACTTCAATGCAGACAGACTCAAAAACACGTTCATGAAATATAGAAAACTCATCAATTCTGCTAAATTTGATCCCTTCCTTAACGTAGAAACCAACCCCCCCTCCTTTAGAGTTTGATCTAGATTTAAATACTAATGGTTGATATCCTGGTAACGAAAGACAGTCTACAGTTTCAACTTGAGAGATCTCCTGAAGAGAAATCAAGTCAATATTAATATTTTGTTGAAGAAAATTTAATACCATAGACTTAAGGCTTTGGAATTTGCTTGATAAGTATTGAATATTCATATTTAAGATCAGAGGATATTTGGAATTAGAAAATTTTTGAATAAAACTATTTTCATCGTAATATAGACAATTTGATTTAAAATTTGAAAATGACGAATCTTCAATCAAAGGCTCATTTAAATTGACATTTTTAAGTTAAAAGAAATGGATTCAAAATCAAGCCTAGCGTCTCTATTCATACTGCCTAAGGTACTCGTGTCAGGAACCATGGCAAGCACTGTGGCGTTCATCCCGAGACAAACCTTCACCCGAAACCACCTTCCTCTCCATCCATTACCACGACGCTTTTAAAGTAAAAATAATGATAGAAAAAATCACGGAGACTACCAATATGCCAACTATTTTATATAAAATTAAGTGCATTAGCAAATAACACAGCCAATGTTAACAAGTGAGAACGAAAGTAAATAAATGAAAATACTTTTAAATAGAATAAATAGTGAATAAGTGTTATAAGTATATAAGTAAATAAATAGAAATATGTTTGTAAATACTAAATTGAATAAATAGGATAAACGATTGCCAGAAATAAATTTGGTAGATATTACAGCTTGAAAAGTTTCTCTATATTTGAAGAAAATAAAACAGATGACCTGATCAGGTCTGGTAAATAGTACCAGACATATAAATGAGTGTTAGAGATATGCATGGTTAACAGGAGATCTGGTGAGAACAGCTGAACGGGTCTAATTACTAGTACCAGACAAATGTAAGTGCTGAACATACAGATTGAACATGAGATCTGGAGAGAACAGTTGAACGAATCTGGTTAGTAGTACCAGACATCTGAGTGTTGAATACACATAATGAACAGGAGAACTGGTGAGAACTGTTTAATGTGAAGGGAAGGAGAGCTTAAAAGATGATAACCAAATCAAGATTAAGGAATACTTCACATAATTAACAGGCTCTAGAATATCCAAGAAGGATATATTAGTTATTTAGCAATCTTCTTGGTTCCGTCCTTGTCCATGTTCATGATCTTTCCTCCAAGGGACCAGGCCTTGATATTTTTCTTCAACAGACCTTGAAGTTTCTGATAATTGATAACAGTCAGATCCTCAGCAATAGAAATTCCTTTTA